AGAGGGGTGGGACTCACTTATCCAGCTTGTGGATTTGTTCCTCGTTGTAGCCCAGCCCTGGGGAGGAGAGACACGGTCACCACACAATAAGTTATAAATTTATGTAATTTATAAATTTATAAATTTTGATTATAAATATATATAATATATTAATGTATATTTATATATTTAATAAATATTTATATATTTGTTATATTTTATTTTTATATTATGTATTTATGTATATTTATATATTTATATATATTTATATATATTTTTATATATATTTATATATTTATATATATTTATATTTATTTATTTATATATTTATATATATTTAAATTTATATATTTATTTACATATATTTATATTTATTTATATTTATTTATATATATCTATATATATTTATATATTATAGATATATATTTATATATATTTATATATTTATTATATATAAAATATATATTTATATATATTTATATAAATATAATTTATATTTATATATTATATATAATATAATATATAATAATAGAATAGAATATATAATAATAGAATAGAATAGATTATAATATAATACAAGTGTAATAGAAGTATAATAGAAGTATAATAGAAGTATAATAGAATAGAATATATAATATATATATTTATATATTAATATATTTAAATATATATATTTATGTATATATTTATGTAAAATATATTTCAATATATACACACATATATACATATATAAATATATGTAATATATTTATAATAATAATTATATATTTATATAAATATATGTATTTCTGTAGATATATTTATATATTTATAATTTATATAAATACATATAAATACATATGTGAAATGAATTTCACAGCCCAATAACTGGGTGATTTCACAACACCCTGAGGCTGCTGAAGGGGATTTTCCTGGCCCCTGGGGCTGCTCTCACAGGACTTGCTGGGAACTTTTCTGTGAAGAAAATTCACTTGCTGGGAATTTTTTCGCTGAGATGCTGATTTAGGAAGTGTCCCTGCTTCCCTAAGTGCTTGACTTCCAGGGCAGAGAAGTGCCTGATGGGTTTTGTACCTTTAAGAATCCTCCTTTCAGTTCCCACCAAAACCAGGGGGATTTGTCACAGCAAGAAATAAAACCCCATTTCAGCGTGCAGCAGGGAGGGGGAAATTTCACAGCCTCCTCTGTGTCCCTGAATGCTCAGCCTAACCTTGAACATTTGCCTTCAATTCCAAGGCAGAGACTCCTCAGCAGTGCCCTGGTGGGGTGACAGGGACTGTATCCCCCAAAACCTTCCTCTGCATCCCCCAAAACCTCCCTGTGCATCCCCAAAACCTCCCTGTGCATCCCCCAAAACCTCCCTGTGCACCCCCAAAACCTCTCTCCATCCCCAAAACCTCCCTCTCCAACCCCAAAACCTCCCTCTCCATCCCCAAAACCTCCCTCTCCATCCCCAAAATCTCCCTGTGCATCCCCAAAACCTCTCTCCATCCCCAAAACCTCTCTGTGCATCCCCAAAACCTCTCTCCATCCCCAAAACCTCCCTCTCCATCCCCAAAACCTCCCTCTCCATCCCCAAACCTCTCTCCATCCCCAAAACCTCCCTCTCCATCCCCAGCAGGGTTTATTTCCTCCATAATTCATTTCTGAGCACCCAGCCCGTTTCTCCTGGCGTTCTTTGCACACACTGAAGGAAATCACGCTGTTCCCTCTCTCATTCCCGATTTTAGGCTGAATTTGGGGAGCCTGGCCAGGAGGGTTGTGTCCATTTTCCAGAACGATTGTGTCCAGCAGTACCAGGAGGTTCTGGCCCTGCACAGCAGCAGGATGAGGTAACAACCCCCAGGGATTTGGGACAGGGGAGGAACCCAGGAGATCCTGAGTGCTCTGGATCCAGAGTGGAGATGGAAATGGGGATTTGGGAAACGCTGAGGGATTTACAGGTGCAGGGGGTTTCTAGGCTGGGAGTTTGATTCAGATGCTCAGAATTCCTCCAGGAGCTGAGGGCAGGGGCTGCCCTGGCCCTGTGCTCTCCCTGCCTCCTCTTTGCCTTTCCCCATTTTTTCCCCATTTTTTCCCATTTTTTCCCCATTTTTTCCCCATTTTTTCCCCAATTTTTCCCCAATTTTTCCCCCGTTTTTCCCCTGTTTTTCCCCCGTTTTTCCCCTGTTTTTCCCCCATTTTTTCCCCAGTTTTCCCCCCAGTTTTCCCCCCAGTTTTTTCCCATTTGTTTTCTCAATTTTTTCCCATTTTTCCGCCATTTTTTCCCTTTTTTTTCCCCCTTTTTTCCCCAGTTTTTCCCCATTTTTTCCCCATTTTTTTCCCATTTTTTCCCATTTTTCCCCCAGTTTTTTCCCCTTTTTCCTCAGTTTTTTCCTCAGCTTTCCCCCCTGTTTTTCCCCTCTTTTTCCCCCAGTTTCCCCCAGGTTTTCTCCAGTTTTTTTCCCAGGGAGGAAAAACCCTTCTCCATTTTTTCCCGGGGTATTTTTGTACCTGTTTTCCTCTCCTTATGGAGAAAGCACCATGAGTCACAGCTGGATATTTTTAATTTCTCCTTACTTCATTTTCAGTTGTCCTGTTTCATTTCCTGCCGGGGTTTGTGGGGTGGTGGTTGTTTTTCTGGGGACTCGAGGGTGGGTAATTCACCTGAAATATTCTTCCCTTTGTTATTATATTTAAAGCCAAGACAAACAATTCTATTTTTTTATACAACTCCTGATGTGCCTGCTGGCTCCTCCAAGGGATGAGAGGCCCAGCCTGTGCTGGGTGGGCCCGAGCTGCCTCATTGACAAACTTAATTAATAATTTATTAAATTATTTATTTATTAATTTATTAATAATTCATAATAATTTATTAAATTAATTTATACATTTTTATTATCTATTATTTATATAATTTTATTATTTATTTAATATTATATTAATGCTATTTATTTCATAATATTTTATTATTTATTTATTATTAATTAATTAATTTATTTCATTATTAATTAATTAATAGGGAAATTAACAGCTGTTTGGATGACCTGGCTGCTGGAGCTGCAGCACTGCTGTGACTCCCTTTACTTCCCTTCAGGATTCTGAATCCTGCAGGAAGCAGCGTGCCATTAAAACACAAAAAAAAAAAAAAAAATAAAATTTAACATCCAAAAAATTAACATAAAAAAAAAAATAATCAATTAACGACGCCAAGCGTTAACCGGGAGTTTTGCCGTGCTTTTGTCTCTCCAGGAAAGTTTGTGAGATCAAGAAGCACCTGAAGAGGATCAGCAACCGCATCAGTGCCTGCAGCGTGGAGATGATGGAGTGCCAGGACTGCCTGCAGGGTGTAGGTGCAGGGCTGCAGCTCCACAGCCTCCTGCTGCCCCCTGAGGGCAGGGGCTGCCCTGGCCCTGTGCTCTCCCTGCCTCTTCTTTGCCTTTTCCCAGTTTTTTCCCATTTTTTCCCCTTTTTTTTTCCCTTTTTTTTCCCATTTTTTTCCCATTTTTTTTCCCTTTTTCCCCCCATTTCCCCCCCTTTTTTCCCCCTTTTCCCC